TGCGAGGGCGTCTGCCAGCAGATGGGAGCCGGCAGGCGCGAGGCATGCTGGGAGGTGTAGGCAGGGCCTGGGCAGGAAGCCGAGGAGGCTAAGATGGCTGCCCGGAGCTGAGGGAGGGAGGAAGGAAGGATTCATCATCATTGAAGGATCCCCGGGGACCTTGGCCGCCCCACGCAGAACCGAGCCAGGCGCGTGGACCCGCTGCCGCTTGAGGGGGGCGCCGGGAGCCCTGATGTCACCTCGTTTTTTTTTCTCCCGCAGAGCGGTGCTCGCATTAACATCTCAGAAGGGAACTGCCCCGAACGGATCATCACCCTCGCTGGACCCACCAATGCCATTTTCAAAGCTTTTGCGATGATCATTGACAAACTGGAAGAGGTGTGTCTGCGGCCCCGAGCCACCCCCCCCACTCTGCCTGCACTCATCCTTTACCCCTGTCCCTGGATAAATTTGCCCTGGGATCCGCCCCAGAGTGTGCGGGGAGGGTCCAGAGCACGAGGGAAAGCTCTTCCCTGGGGATGAGCAGCAGGATGGGCTCGTTCCGCATGGCCTGGTGGTGTTTTCCCCGTGGGGCCTGATCTTTGCCCGGTTGCGAGCAGGATCAAGGTCCAGGTAGTGACACTTCCCCATGTGTGCTCAGCCATCCTTAAAACGGCCGCTTGCTGGGTGCCAGAGCCCCACAGGGACTTTTCTGGGCCAAAAATCCCACCTCGTGGCTCCTGGTTAAACAGTTTCAAACAAGAGCAGGGCTTTGAAACTCCCCTGGCTTTGCTCGTCCTCCTGGATGGTTGTGCCACCTCCCCTTCAGCATGCCTCAGTGGTAGCGGGGACTCTGCTCCGGCCCCAGCCCCACCAAGGAGGGGACCCGGGGTTGGTGCGGCTGCGCAAGTGCTGAAGGAGGAGCTGAAAGAAGGAGGAGCTGCCTCGTTCCCCCTTGTCCCGCTGAATCGGTGACTTCCAGGGGGGATGTGGATCCTGGATAACCTGGATCCTGGCTGCGGGTGCTAGAGCCTGCTCAGGGCCGTGGTGTTGAGGAGTTTTCCATCCTGCTCCGCATCGTTTGGAAGGAGTGAGCTCCTCGCCTGGCGCGGGGCAGAGCTCAGTGAGCCCTCACCTTGCCTGTGAGGGTAAAAATCCTGTTGCCTTCTGGATTTGGGACCCTTCCCTGGGAGGAGACGGCCCAGTACTGGCAGGTCTGTCCCCAAGGCCCCCTGTACTCCCACCTCTGCCAAAAGGCTGCTGAGCCCGGACCCGTTTCTGCCGTTCCCCGAGAGCCGGAGTCCTCCGAGTGCTCCCCGTCCGAGCGTGGCTCCTGGCCGCCAGCGCTCTGAGCGCTGGGCTGGAAGCGAAAGCTTTCATTTTAGTAGGTCAGTTGAGCTGTGGCCTTGTGCTTCCCCTCCCCCTGCCAGCACATGACCGCTGTAATCAGGGCTGGGCTTGTTTTCCCTGGAGCCGCTCCTGCCCTGATCCCCCCCGTTACAACGGGAGGATCCGGGGCGAACCTGTGGGGACACCGAGCCCCCAACCACTTGTCACCCTCCGACACCGGTACAGCTGTTTCTTGTTTGGCTGCAGTGTGACCCAGCCGGTGCCCCTGCGCTGGGCCGGTGGGAGTTAAACCCGCTGTTTTCATCGAGACAATAGAATTTGGCTGCTGCTTCCTTCCCCAAAAAGTGGCTGTGTCATTTCTGGGCTGCTAACGAAGTCCTGGGAGAGCCCCTGGGGTCACCTTGGTCCGGCCTGCCCCTGCCAGCGTCATCCTCCCCGTCCCTCTGCCGGGCACGTCACCTCCCCACGTGCCGTTCCAGCGAGGGCGCTGCGCCAGGCCGACCCCTCTGAGTGACTCCTCTTCCTCGCAGGACATCAGCAGCTCCATGACCAACAGTACAGCTGCCAGCCGGCCCCCGGTCACCCTCCGGCTCG